AACTCTTACTCATCATAACTATGCACCTACTAAATCTATTGAATAACCGGGAGCAGAGAAGAAGATTTTCAAAGAATTCATGTATTTTTATTCTATAATCAATACAGCCCCCCCTAACACAAGAACCCCTGACCCTGGGGCTTTAAAATTCACAATTTTGGTAGAGGCACTCTTGCTCATTATAAATATGAACTTCGATAGTTTAATTAATTAATACCCAGGAGTAGAGAAGAAAACTTTCAAAGAATTCATGTATTTTCAATATATAATCAATAGAGCCCCCCCCCCCCCAACACCAGAACCCCTGACCCTGGGGCCATTAAATTCACAATTTTGGTAGAGGCACTCTTGCTCATCATAACTATGTGCTTAGTTAGTTTATTTAATGACCAGGGGCAGAGAGAAGATTTTCAAAGAAATAATGCATTTTCACTATATACTTATTTAGCCCCGCCCTAGCACTAGAACCCCTGACCCCAGGGCCATGAATTTCACAATTTTGCTAGAAGACTCAATGCTGATTACAATCATGCAAACAGTTTGACTGCTTGATGTCCAGGAGTAAAGAAGAAGATTTTTAAAGATTGCATTAATTTTAGTGGTTTTGGCCCCACCCCTCAGGCCCCAGGGGTGCAGGGATCATGAAATTCACAATTTTTGTTTCCCTTCACCCATAGATGCTTTTTGCCAAATTTGGTTGAAATTGGTTGAGTAGTTGCAGAGAAGAAGCTTAAAATGTTTAAATGTTAACGCACAACGCACGACGACAGACGAAAACAGATAGCAATAGGTCACCTGAGTTTACTCAGGTGACCTAAAAATTCCATTTACTGCTGGATTTAAGGAAATGATTGCTTTTTAGGTCACCTGAGTAAACTCAGGTGACCTATTGCTATCTGTTTTCGTCCGTCGTCGTCCGTCGTTCGTCGTACGTCGTCCGTCGTGTGTTAACATTTGAACATTTTCAGCTTCTTCTCTGCAACAACTGAACCAATTTCAACCAAATTTGGCACAAAGCATCTTTGGGTGAAGGGGAACAAAAATTGTGAATTTCATGATCCCTGCCCCCCTAGTAACTCAGGTGACCTATTGCTATCCGTTTTCGTCCGTCGTCGTGTGTTAACATTTGAACATTTTCAGCTTCTTCTCTGAAACCACTGAACCAATTTCAACCAAATTTGGTATACAGCATCTATGGATGAAGGGGAACAAAAATTGTGAATTTCATGGTCCCCGCCCCCCTGGGGCCTGAGGGGTGGGGCCAAAACCACTAAAATTATTGCTATCTTTAAAAATCTTCTTCTTTACTCCTGGATATCAAGCAGGCAAACTGTTGGCATGAATGTAATGAGCATTGAGTCCTCTACCAAAATTGTGAAATTCATGGCCCCAGGGTCAGGGGTTCTAGTGCTAGGGCGGGTTCAATAGATTATATAGTGAAAATGCATTATTTCTATGAAAATCTTTTTCTCTGCTCCTGGGTATTAAATAAACTAACTAAGCACATAGTTATGGTGAGCAAGAGTATCTCTTCCAGATTTGTGAATTTTATGGCCCCAGGGTCAGGATTTCTGGTGTTAGGGTGGGGCTCTATAGATTATATAGTAAAAATGCATTATTTCTTTGAAAATCTTCTTCTCTGCTTCTGGGTATTAAATAAACTAACTAAGCACATAGTTATGGTGAGCAAGAGTATCTCTTCCAGATTTGTGAATTTTATGGCCCCAGGGTCAGGATTTCTGGTGTTAGGGTGGGGCTCTATAGATTATATAGTAAAAATGCATTATTTCTTTGAAAATCTTCTTCTCTGCTCCTGGATATTAAATAAACTAACTAAGCACATAGTTATGGATGAGCAAGAGTGCCTCTTCCAGATTTGTGAATTTTATTGCCCCAGGGTCAGGGGTTCTGGTGTTAGGGCATGGCAAAAATAGATTATATAGTAAAAATGCATTATTTCATTGAAAATTTTCTAATCTGCTCTTGGGTATTAAATAAACTAACTAAGCAAATAGTTATGATGAGCAAGAGTGCCTCTTCCAGATTTGTGAATTTTATGGCCCCAGGGTCAGGGTTTCTGGTGTTAGGGCGGGGCTCTATTGATTATATAGTGAAAATGCATTTATTCTTTGAAAATCTTCTCTGCTTTTGGGTATTAAATAAACTAACTAGGCACATAGTTATGATGAGCAACAGTGCCTGTTCCAAAATTGTGAATTTTATTGCCCCAGGGTTAGGTGTTCTAGTTGTGTTAAGGTTAAGGTGGTCCTATCATGCTTTTATTAGCCTGTATAAACAACATAAGAATGGCGTCGGGTCCATGCTTTTAATTCTGTGTTCCTTCACATAATTGATGACGTAATACACAAAAGGGGTCATTTCAAAACATATAAATGATACATCTTCCCTCTTTTAAAATTGAGTCATGAGCTACAATAACATTTATAAGATATTGAAAGATGTGAAACCTTACATTAACTATTATTAGATAAAGACATTAAATTCTATTGAAATTTAAGATTTGGTATGCAACAATACAATGAAGCCTGGTACATTAACAAATTACAACACTGAAACTATAATGTCAAAATAAACTTAATAAATTGTCTGTATAATGCAACTGACTAGCATTTCCAAAGTAAAAAACAAACAGTACAACTAATCCAAAATTTACAACAAATGACATAGATTTTTATGTCCTTACTCACATACCCCGTTTTCATGGTACTGATCTGACCCACAAACAACAAATTAAATCTCTTCAATTAATCTCTGTGGTTTCTTAACTGACCTACCAGACCTTGTGGTACTTGACATACTTTGTGTGGGTACATGATTGGTACAAATAGACATATCTTGACTAAGTGATTGAGTATTTTCAGTATCACATGGGTTATGACTAGAATGATCAACATTATCATTGTTTTGACAATCATATTGTTCATATGGTGTAAATTGTTCATTTGACTGCAAAATATGTCTGCGATTTCTGCGGTATACATGTCCATTTTCGGTTTGAACCACGTATGATCTCGGAGCAACTTGGTCGAGCACCTTGCCACGGTTACCCCAATCCTTGTCATTATGATCTCGAAGACGGACTGTTTGTCCTGGACTCAACAGCGATAACTCTTTTGTGTTTCTGTCATGATACTGTTTTTGTTTGAGTTTCTGTTGCATCTTTACTCTTTCATAAGACTCGTTTAAATGGTTTCCACGGCAACTATCAGCCATTGGTAAGTTCGAACGCAGTTTACGTCCATTGTTCAGTATTTTGGCTGGTGATTTCCCATCGAGTAGAGGAGTTGCACGGTAGATGAGTAGACTCATGTGGAAATCTGATCCATCATCCGCCGATTTTTTCAATAGGCCTTTTACAATGCCTACGGTTTTCTCGACTAACCCATTCGATTTTGGGTATAATGGACTTGATGTATGATGCTGAAAATCATATGACTTTGCAAATTCACTGAATTCAGCTGACTTGAATTGTGGTCCGTTATCACTGAACACTATCTTAGGTATGCCTTGGCCTGCAAACACATATTTCATTGCATTAATGACTGATTGACTTGACACACTATGCAAACGACACACTTCTGGATAATTGGAATAGTAATCACATAACACAAGATAATTTTCTCCATTGAATACACACAAATCTGCTCCCACTTTTTCCCACGGATAATTGCATACATCATGTGATTTAAGCGGTTCCGACGGTTGTTTTGGACGGAATTTGATACATGTTGAACATGAATTCACCATTTCCTCGATTTGTGCATACATTCCGGGCCAATACATCACTTGTTTGGCTCGATTCCGACATTTTTCGATACCAAGGTGACCTGTATGGATTTTGGTAAGCATATCCTTCCGCAATGAGACTGGAATGACAATGCGGTCTGTCTTCATGATGATTCCATCACATAAACTCAGCTCTGTTCGTATATTCCAGTATTCTGATATTTCCTTAGGGCATTCAATGCGCGTTTCTGGAAATCCTGTTACAATCGCGTCTGCTAGTAACTGCAATTTTGGGTCATGTTGAGTTTCCTCACGAATCTTCTGTAGCTTACGATCTGATATGGGTAGGCTCTTAATGACAGAGTCTACATACACTTTGAGATCCTCCTCCTGTTCTGATTTGGTCAGCTTCGTTGACATATCCGTTCCTCTGGACAACGCGTCAGCGGTATGCATAAATTTTCCTGGAGTGTAGCCAATACGTAGATCATATTTCTGTACCCTCAGCAGCAGTCTTTGTAATCGTAGTGGACAGTCTTTCAGGGACTTCTTAAAAATGTTCACAAGTGGTTTATGATCTGTTTCCACTTCTACTACCTGTCCAAGTATGTATTGGTGGAAGTGTTCACATGCAAATGATATGGCTAACATTTCTTTCTCAATCTGCGCATATCTGGTTTCTGCATCAGACATAACTCGGGGGGCATATGCCACCGGCATCCACTCGTTATCATGCCTCTGTAAGAGCACTGCTCCCAGTCCAAAACTAGAGGCATCTGAAGAGATTTTAATCTCTTTGTTCGGGTCGAAGAACTTAAGAACTGATGTACTTGTTAATATGGCCTTTAGCTCATCGAATGATTTTTGCTCAACTGTAGTCCACTGAAATTGGTTTTTGTCCTCTGTGAGATTTCGCAGAACTTGAGTTTTCGACGACAAGTCTGGAACATATCTTGCCTGGTAGTTCAACATGCCTAAAAAGCGTTGTACATCTTTCTTACATTTTGGAGTCTCAAAGTTTGTTATGGCCTTGACCTTGGCCTTGTCTGGCTTGATTCCTTCTGCGGATATAGTGTCACCGACGAATGTAAGTTCCTTAACTCCAAATACACATTTTTCTCGATTCAATTTGAGATTTGCTTTGCGTGATGCATCAAACACTTGCTGTAGTCGTTGGTTGTGTTCTTGTAGAGTTGAACCCCATACGATGATGTCATCCATCATTGTCGTGCATCCTGGTATGTGTTCATATATCATATGAATTGTCCTGTGATATATCTCGGGTGCTGATGAGATACCGAAAGGTAGACGCAGAAATCGATATACCTTCCGAATGGTGTATTGAAACAGGTAAGTTTTGAGGAATTCTGCTCCAGTTTCATTTGCCAGAATCCAGTGCGAGCATCAAGTTTACTGAAATAATGTGCATTCTTGAACTTCGCATGAATCTCATCTCGCGTTGGCAGCTTGTAATGTTCTCTCTGTATCGCTTTGTTCAGCTGAATTGGATCAAGACACACGCGGATCTTTCCGTCTTTTTTCGGAGCGATTACAATCGGACTCACCCAATCTGTATGTTCGGTTTCTTTGCATATGACACCCATATCCTCCATGCGTTTAAGTTCATCTTGGAGTTTTTCATGTAGAGCGAAAGGTATTTTACGACATGGACTCACTACTGGTGTAATGTCTGGATCTATGGTTAATTTATGTTCACCTGGTAAACATCCTAATCCTTCGAACAAGTCATTATTTTGATCCACAATCTGTGCAGTTGTGTCTGTAATCTTTGTGCAGTTTTCTATTGTATATGTGCGTTTCACTAGTCCTAACTTGTCGCAAGCTTTTACGCCTAAGATTGCTGTTGAAGCATCCTGAACTATCACAAAGTAGACCTTAGCTGCTTTTCTCTGATGAGAAACTTCTAAAACACATGCTCCTAAGACCGGAATACTATGCTTGCTGTACGACATAAGCTGTATATTTGTCTTGTGTAGTTTTGGCTTCCATCGTAGACTGTGATACTGTTTCTCCAGCAGGATGTTGACTTGACTACCTGTATCCAACTTGTAGTTGATTCCTTTGCCATTGGTACATAGAGTTACACGCCACTCCTCAGGTTTGTCGGAATGAACTGTCTCCAGAGCGTCGATGAAGAAGGCTTGTTCATCCTGAATGTCATGAATGTGTTTCTTCTTCTGTATTTTCTTTCTGGTACTATTTTGTTTGCCTTTTGATCTGCAGACTTTTGCAAAGTGATTTGCACCATTACACTTATTGCAAATTTGACCCATAGCAGGGCAAGTCTTATGTGAATCATCATATCCACACCGTCCACAAATTTTACCTTGCTTAAATGCCCGAACTTTTTTGTCTTCGGGTTTTCCCCCAATGGCATGTACTTCAGAAGGAGGGACAATACTCTTTATTTGTTCCTTTGTCGACTCTGCTGCTCTACAGGTTGCAAGTGCTTTGTCTAATGTTAGATCGACTGTTCGTAAAAGTCTCTCTTTCAGCGTGTTGTCTGGGACCCCACATATTATTCTGTCACGTATTAGAGAATCTGCTAGATCCCCGAACTCACAGTTCTTTACCATAGTTCGTAATTCCGTCACATATTGGTCTATGGTCTCATCGGACCTCTGCACCCTCGTGAAGAACTTATGTCTCTCATACGTAGTATTGCGTTTTGGTGTGCAATACGCCTCAAATTTATCGAGTATTTTCTTTAATTTAAACTCATCACCCTCATCAAATACAAAGGTGTTATAAACTTGAACTGCCTCTTCTCCTACTACGTGTAAGAAAATGCATGATTTTTGTTTGTCACCTTTTTCGGACGCACCTGTAGCTGTCATGTAAACATCAAACCTCTGTTTGAACTTCTTCCAATTTTCTGCCACGTTCCCCGTGAGCGAAAGTACTCCTGGTGGTTCCAGTTTATCCATTGTAAACTTCTGACACCATGTGTTAAGGTTAAGGTGGTCCTATCATGCTTTTATTAGCCTGTATAAACAACATAAGAATGGCGTCGGGTCCATGCTTTTAATTCTGTGTTCCTTCACATAATTGATGACGTAATACACAAAAGGGGTCATTTCAAAACATATAAATGATACACTAGTGTTAGGGTGGGGCTCTATTGATTATATAGTAAAAATTCAAACAAAAAAATTAATTCAAACAATGCTTCCATTATCCTGTTGAACTAATTAAATCAACAATGGTGTGTTCCCTTAAATAGCCATATCTTTTTTATTTTCAAATAAGTGAAAACAAATTTGGTATTATTTTTCTCGTCAACGCTTGATCTTTCTAAATCATAAAAGATTTAAAGTCAAAAAGCCAAAAAAAAAATTATTTCAAAGAATGCTTCCATTATCATGTTGAACCGAGTAAATCAACAATGGTGTGTTCCCTTAAATGGTCATATCTTTTTTATTTTCAAATAAATGAAAACAAATTTGGATTATATTCAGTGGTATAAATTCTAAATTGTGTTTATAAACATCATTTACATTTTAAAATTTAACATATAAAGTGATAATTATTTAAGTGAGTTATTAATAGGCCTTACCCCTACTGTCCTTATGAAAAGTATGGAGGACAAGCAGTAACACAATAATTTCATTGATTAAATGATTAAAGGTAGTAGAAGTCCTATACATTTTGGTAACATGTCTTGCCACTGTGGATCATAGGTTATCATATTTTTGAAATATTGAAGACACACTATGTAAACATTGCAAAAATAAAAGATATTGTAATTTGTTCGTTACTGATTTAATTAGTAGGCATTAAAAACTGAATACATTGTTGCTAGGGAAACATTATATAAAACTTTCTGGGGGTTCTTTTTAGAATTTGACAGTTATGATGGCTTTTTGTTGTCAATGGGTGTGAATTAATAATTGGTCAGCTGCCAAATGTTCTTTATCAACATTCAGTTGTAAATGTGTGTTTTCATCTATATTTTTCAAATCATCCTTTCTTTGACACAATTATAAGGTATACTGCTGATTTTTAGCTGTAGCTAAGTGCAGTTGAATCAAATTCATATAGGAGAAGAAGAAATCCTATAGGAATTTAAAATTTCCTACAGGATATTTTTCTCCCTACAGGAGCAAGTAAATAATTCAAAAGTGAAAATATGTCCTACAGGAATTTCTCTGACTGAAAAAGAGAATCCTACAGGAATTTAAGAAATCCTATAGGATATATTTTTCCTAAGGGATTTTTTGTCTCTCCCATAGGAAATTGTATTCCTACAGGAGATTAAATTCTCCCATAGTAATTAAGTTTACTGTAGGATTACTTAAATATCCTACAGGAAATTAAGAAATCCTGCAGGATTTTGATAATATCCCTCAGGAATTTTATTTTTCTTAAAGGAAATTTTTTCCCATAGGAATTTTTTGTTCAAAGGTGATTATCTCACCTCACATGTGAGATTTACCTGTAACAAAGGTAGTTATGAACTCTGTGAGTGATGGTCTACCACTTGGCATACATGATTTTTATGAGAAATGAGAATTAGGCGGGCGCCAAAATGCCACTTTTGAAGTGGCATAATTATCCGGCACAGTGTTATACCAATTGTTAGTCCATTATTTATACACTGAATTGACCACGGATTTTTTCCGTTATATCCTGATTATGACAACGAGCACACGGCGGGTGTGACCGGTCGGCAGGGGATGCTCACTCCTCCCTGGCACCTGATCCCACCTCTGATGTTTCGGAATTCCGTGTTTGCTCTGCACTTATTTTGTATATTTGTTTAATGGACGTTAAGATTGAATACTGTTCGTCATTTCCATATCCTTCTTGGAAAAGGTGGGGAGGTGGAATATTTTAAACTTACCATTTCATTTCCTTTAAATTGCCACACTTTTCCCCTTGCAATGGCGCAAGGCAATCAAGAGCCTTGTGAAAAGTTGCCTGGGCTTTCCTTTTAAAGGTCCTCGGTGTTCTTGGTTTAAAATCCTTTTCTTATTTGGAACTTGATTGGACTTATTTTTTCCATTACCAATGATGTCAAATGCTCTATTGTCACTAAGGGAGTTACGTTGTTTGCAATTTTCTGGGACAGTGAATGTTATTTCCGACTTCACACAGCCTACAAAGGTTGAGGGCTAAATTAAACAAATGACATCTGAGGACAGTATCGGATGTCCAGATGGATGTTCAGTTCATTTCCATCCTTTACAGCCATTCATGATCACTGTCTGATAGGAGAATATCACTATGACCTGATTAATTGTTTGGTGTTTAACGCAGAGTCGGCAAAATTTCAGCCATATTTCGGCAGGAAAATATGTTAGATGATCAGTTTTGAGAGTGTTTAGGTTTCTCTGGCGACCCCCAGTGAGCCTACTCTTTTCCGAAAACCGGAGAAACGATCTTTTGCGTGTCAAGGAAGTTGTTATCCTTGACACGGGGCACCGTTTAACTGCCGCATATATATCCTTTTAGATGGATTAAAGATGGCGGATGTATGACGTAGGTTAAAGCAATATGAATCATATTTATTTATAGAATTAAGATGGTTGATGATTTAATTATAGATGTATGATGCAGTATAAGGCCTTGTGGAAGATTTGATTACCTAAAGGTCGTGTAATCTTAAGATGATGATAAGGATGATTGAGTATGTGTACTCAATAGTCCAAACGTGCGTAGCGCATGGTTTTGCAAAGCTGTTTGGTTTATCATTTTCTAACAGTAGAACGTTTATGTCAGCACAATTTTTTTTATATTTATTATATTAAAGTGTTTTCAAGGGGGGGATTAATATTATTTTTTGGAAAACAGAAGAAGAATGGCGATCAGACAAAGTTTTATAATAAGAGACAACAAAATCCCTCGATTAGATGATTGGGAACAGCGACCACCAGGGAGAATGCGGTGGGTAACGGTGAAACGGTTTTTGTATTTGACCATGAATACGAAAAGAAGAACGAAGAACAGAAGAAATAGTGTCATGATTAATGACTAAACCCAACGGCCGTTTTAATTGCCACTAAATTTTTTTTCGAAAAGATACCACATTTACAGACGTATGGTATATGTTCCATGATAGGCTAGAAAGAATTCTTTAGGATTTTTAATACAGTATAGTATTATTTTCTTATATTGAAAAAAAAAATTGACATATTAGATAGACTTTTTCCAAAAATTATCGTTAAGGAAAAGATATTTTTTTTTTAAAAAAAGATGACAAAGACTAATTCGACACGAATAAACGATGCATGGAAAATAACTCGGTCATGATTACTTTAATATTTGGTATTTTAAGCGCTTACTATACATGTGTCATGAAAGATCTTTCTTTAAAAAAAAAAAAAAGAAAAAGAAAAAAGACATCGATTTTAATTTTAGAAATATTTTATATATGAAGAAATAAAATATAAATAAAAATTATGAAATCCAACTAACAGATAATATATATAAGTTTTTGAAGAAAAAAAGTAGACAGATGCCGTAGATATACAGACACAGAAAAGGAGGTAAGTCAATTATTTTGATATATAATTTGTAAAATAAGCATAAGTAAAAAAAAAAATAAAGTAGTTTGAAATTAAACATATAATTTCTTTGATAAAATAATATTTTTTTTATTTCAATAAAACTTAACAAAAAGAAATAACAAAAAACCAACTTATGAGAATTGTAAGAAAGATAACTCCGTCAATTTTGCATGACTGTCAAATTTTACGGTTACTTTTGGAAATTTATTTTACATTTTCACACTTTAAACTTGGGCAATGATTTTGGTTTAAAAGACCCAACGTGTTTTTTTAACTTACGCTTTTATTTAATATCCAAAAAATATATATCACAGTAATAGTTTTTTATAGTAACTCGATCTTCACCATCTCTTCATCTTGTTCATCACCCTGTTCACCGTCTTTTTCTTCATCTTTTATCTCCTCTTCCTCTACAACTTCTTTTTCTTTTTTTTGGGAAGTTTATTCTTCTCTTCTTCTGTTTCTTGTAAGCTGCATTTTCTTTTGCTATATTTAAAAGTGATTTTAACTTAAAATATACAACAACAATTGAATTAAAAAACGAAAAAAATATACATCTAATGAAAAAAGTATTTTGAATTTACTTACCATAATGTTAATGAGATCTTAATTTTCTTTTCGGGTGAAAGGTCCTTTGCGTTTCTAAAAGAAGAAATATTGAATTACTTTATATTAGGTATACAGAATTATTTTTTGATAAATTAGGGTAAAAAATAGATAACGCAATTACGGTATTGTACTGTTAAATTTCATACCTGATTGAAATTTCCATTTTTTTTTAAGATACTAGTAGTTTGAATACTCTGGCGTCTAAATGAAAAATGTTGAAGAGAACGGAAAACAGTCAATGATATTTTACGGAATTTAACTAAGATTTTTTTTTATTAAAGTCTACATAATTGAAATATTTTTTTTTGAATACAATTTCAAACGAAATAATTTATTAATGGGTAAATTATGGATATGACATTTGTATTATGTATTACACAGCATCTTTTTTTATTTGTACACTTGTATATAAAATTTATTTTAAAAAAGATTAAAAAATAATGTTGAAAAATGTGAACAAAATCTTAGGATAACTTCATTTGAAAAATAAATAATTTGTAACTTTTTTATCATTATACATGCTAATACATATAAGAAAATGAGCATATTGTGCGCAGGTGCTTGGTCTTTATTAAGGCAAATTAGATTTACAAAGAGTTTGCAAATACTTGAGATATGGTTATACAAAGTTATAATTTACATAGAAAATGAATTAAGGGTGTTTATATCCGCTCAATATATTTGATATATATGTATGTGGCGATGATTTCAATTAACATATTTAACGCAAATTGTGAGAAGTCGTGAATCTAAGACTGAACTAGTTAAAAAAATCGTGTAGCTTGATAATCAGAGCAACATAGTATGTA